TGTCTTCCAGTGGAATTTCCCCCAGCTTGTCCGCGTTTTTTCTTCAAATGAGAAGATCAGGAATCGGACTGAGCAGATGAGTTGAAAGAACATTGAACTTGCCACCATCCGAATTCGCCAAGTGGTTGAGGTGCCCACGAATGTGAAGGTCATTTCATCATGTGACAGTGCCAAAGCAGACCTCTCACTTGGTTTCAGCCTGTTCCGAGGCGTTCTCCAGGCCTCTTCGGTTGTTTCAAGACGTCCATTGCTGCACGTGCAACACGGCCGGTCGTCGAACGGGTCGTCACCACGTCCAGGAGCACCTCGCCTCAGCCGGGCTCTCCGCCCTCGCCCACGTTGCCGCTGATGGCGAGAACAGGCCGCTGCCTGGTGAAGTCAGCATTGAAAGACCGACATTGATAGAGCATTTCAGCTAGAGTGAGGGTGCCGAGAAACACGTTGCTGAATCAATGTGGAGTAAACGCATGTTGCGACATTATTGCCCTTCAGTCTCGGAGGCCCTCAAGCCACCCCTCCTGCGGAGGCAGGAGAGCTGGATCTACAGTGGGTGGGATAGAAGTAGATGTACCTATTCAATGCGGGTCAATCTGCCTCCTCCCATGGATCCATACAAATCAAACATCTTTTTTATATGATAAATTGGGTGTTTCGGCGCTGTGAGGTGTTGTAATGTTTTGTTTCGTTGCAAGACTTGAGATATTCGATTCTCAGGACTTTCAGGGTGGATAAAGAGATGAACGATGAGGAACGATGAACGAGCAGCATGAGTACCTGGTTGATGAGAGTCAGTTGGAAAAAAACATTCACTCACAGGCAGGGGAAGAATGACGAATTCTGAGCTGCTTGGTCACTGGGCCTCTTCTCTTTTCTAGAAACATGGCCCTTCGTGGCTAGGTGGACTTCCGCCCTGGTGTGTCCTTTGCGGCTCGATGGATTCAGCGAACGACGGTGAAGCCAGCGTCGCGAGCGACGGCGTTCAGCGATGCGGACAGAAGAAAAGACACTGGCAAGAAAAGTTCAAATTCAGTAAGCGAAACCCCTATGTCAGCAATAACGAGGATTTGGACTTACTCACCGACAAAGGGGTTTATCCATATGATTACTTCACTTTCTTTGACAAGTTCCGAGACAGGCAACTTCCACCAAAGGAAGCCTTCTACAGCAATCTCACCAAAGAACATATATCGGATGAAGACTACGAAAGAGCAAAGAAAATTTGGGAACACTTCGGTATAAGAAATCTTGGACAATACCACGATTTTTATTTGAAAACCGACGTTCTTTTATTAACCGATGTCTCTGAGAATTTTAGAGACCTTTGTTTAGAATACTACGGTTTAGACCCTGCGCACTACTTCACCCTTTCCTAACTTTGCTTGGGATGCGATGCTTCTTAAAGCCGGAGTGGAGTTAGAACCATTGACCGACCAAGAGATGTATGAGATGATTGAGAAGGGGCTTCGTGGTGGTATGTGCCAAGTCAGTCATAAGGAAGCAAAGGCAAACAACAAGTATATGGGCGAAGACTATGATGAAACAAAGGCACCGAACTTCATCAACTATTTAGACGCTAATAACCTGTATGGACTGGCAATGTCAATGAAACTACCCATAGGAAAACTCAAGTGGATAAAGAATATGTTTACTGAAAAGAAGATAATGGACTGGAACGAGAACGATGACAACGCCTACATACTGGAAGTGGATTTAGAGTATCCAAAGGAACTACACGATGAACATTCGGATTATCCATTAGCGCCCGAAATATAAATGTGAAAGAGGAGCTCCTTTCAGAGCATCAGAGGACACTACACAAACACTACTACAATGGCAAGGACGCCAAGGATGAGAAGCAACCGAAACTTATACTGAACGTTATGGACAAAGAGAAGTATGTAGTCCATATCAAGGCTTTACAGTATTACCTAAACAAGGGGATGAAACTGAAACAGATACATAGAGCGGTGAAGTTCAAACAGAGGTCGTGGTTGAAGCCTTGGATAGATTTTAACACTGGAAAGCGAAAAGAGGCAAAGAGTGATTTTGAGAAGGATATGTTCAAGTTCATGAACAACGCGGTTTATAGTAAAACGATGGAACATGTCAGAAACCATATAGACTTTGAATTAGTATCAACGCAGGAACGAATGCAAAAGTGTATCAACACTCCGACCTACAAGAACAGTCATATCATAAATGATGAACTGGCAGGAGTGGCAAAGATTAAGAGCGAACTGTTGCTGAATAAGCCTATCTACTTGGGAATGTCCATATTAGACCTTTCAAAGGTTCATATGCATTCCTTCTACTATGATGTCCTCAAAGCGAAGTATCAGGAGAACATCAGACTAATCTACACGGACACCGACAGTTATGTCCTACAAACTTTCACTGAAGACATCTACGAAGAGTGGAAAACATGAAAGAGTATATGGACTTCAGTGGTTATGATAAGACCCATCCGTGCTATGACCCTACTAAAAAAAAAGTCCTTGGCAAATTCAAGGACGAGATGGATGGAAAAGTCATAACAAACTTTATAGCATTGAGACCGAACATGTATTGTCTCAAAGGCTTCAACGAAAAGAAGGTGGAGAAGAAAGCGAAAGGTGTTCCAAAGAATACCGTGAAGAAAGATTTAGATATGAACGATTATGAGAACACACTACATAAACACAAGCCGAATAATGTAAATTTCAATGCGATTAGGAGCAAGAACCATCAAATCTATTCAATCAATCAAAGTAAAGTAGGACTGACAAGTTATGACAACAAAAGGTATTGGATGAACGATACTGAAGGTGTCCCTTATGGGCACTATTCCATAATGGGATGAAAAGAAAACAACCTCATAAAGGCTTTCGCTTTTGCTTTTGTCTTTTCTTTAGGCTTACAGTAGGTGACCCAGTAGGTGTTCTTTTTAATTCTTTGATTTCTTCTTCCATCTTTTCCATTTTAACCATCATCTCCTGATGGCTTTTCCACAAGATGGCACACATACGACCATAGTTAATACTCATATACTCATTATCTTCATTAATCACACTTTCAAACTCTTCGGGTATAACCTCTTTAACGTCCTGCGCTACAAAACCTATATTTTGCCTCTTCTTCTTATCATTCTTCATATAGCATTTTTTTAACCTTTATTTGTTTCACAATCTCGCTACAATCAGAATGGACGACATCAATGTCGTCTTTCCCCTCTCATCCGATGTCTCCGTAAGGGCAACGCAGGTGATGTTGTATCCAGAATACATATCAACATCAAACTGAAAGCGTGTAAGCGACCTGTCATAAAACATATAGTCCGTTCGTTCCATCATACCTCCATACGATGTCAAAGTTGGATTCTTGTAAAGTAGGTCAAAGATATGCGCCCTCAATGTATTACATTGTAAGAATTGGTCCGTCCTAACACTAACAATCAAATTTAAAACGTCCAGAAGGATAATTAACATCATCCTTATCATAGTAAGCAAAGGACATCTTGGAAGTCTTCTTGCGTGAATACCTCAAAGAACTTTTTAGATACTATGAGCACTACATCAACGAACCAGAAATAGAAGAGCACCTACAAAAAAATATAGACACTTAAAGAAAAAACACACATATATATATATTTAAAAAATGCCTATGACTGGAGTAAGCGAGGAAGAATTGAAAAGAGATAGGGAGAGACTGTTGAACTTCATAAAGGAAAATCCATATCCTGATTATAAGTTTGTATCCAATGACCTGCTCCTGAAGCAAGAAAAATCTTTACCACAATACGCAGAGTATGGAGAAATAGACCACGATCTTATGAAAACATTTATGAACACATTTTTGACACAGATATTGTTAAAAGAAACGGTGAGATAATACACCACAGAGGAGGAATGACAGCATTACAACAGAACTATTATACACTATTGTCAGTGTTAAAGCACTTGATTGACCAACGAAGTATGGATAGAGAGACAATCATTTTAGTGTTCTACAACATAAAAACGATTGTATCTGAACATTGGGATGGAATAGGAAAAGATGATGAAACATGGAGACACTGATAAATTCATAATACTTTAATTAACCATATTATGAACTAATCCTTTAAACCCAGAACGCCAAAACAAGAGACCCCCCTTAAAAAACATTTAAAGACATAACCCCTTAAACTTATAGAGATACAATGACTGACAAAAAGCAATGTTCCAAGTGTAAGGTCTTTCAACCACTCAACTATTTCAAAAATGAATGTAAGCAATGTAAAATATGTCTGGAAGCAAAGCAACGATACAGGGAGAAAAACCGAGATACATTAAGAGACTATGCCAGACAATAATACTATGGCAAAAATGAACGAACATTAGTATGTCCGGTGTGTGAAAGCATAAGCAAGCATCAAGTCAAGCGACACGAGGAAAGCATCAAACATCAAAACAAAGTAAAAGGAAAAGAACAGCCGAAAGTTATAAGAAATGGGGAGGATGATGAAACTGGACTTATGGGAATATAAACCCAAACCCCCACAACAAAACAAACCTCGTTGAATTATAGCAATGATAGTGAAAGTTATGACCCTAAAACACGCATAACAAGACCCCAGAAAAACGACAAAGGCTCAACACAAATTTTCAAGAGCCAAGAAAATTCAACGAGGTGATTGATGAACCAACACTCCCCAGGACCCCCATTTTACCCTTTTTTGGGAGGGATGGTGGCGAGCGAGGGGAACCATCGAACAGAGAGCCCAGGGGGAAGACGTCCACGAGGGGATTTCATCAGTATTTGGTCTTAGTCTTTGGATGTCTTTGGAGTCTTGAAAGGAGGGGGACTTGGAGGATCCTTTCACATGGGTGTGAGGCTGGAGGAAAGACCAACACAACACAAAGAAGGATCAACTCATCCGCGTGTCATCTTCTCTCGTTCTGCTTCCGCTCCTACCTTCGTCACCGGGCGAATTGAATTTGGTGACCTCTCAGCACTGCTGTGCCAAGGGCAACACCAGCTACATGCAGTACGCGCCGGAGGCCCGGCCATTGGGTGGAGCCAAAACTCCAAGGACCAGGTGTCTGGGTCGGACTGTAACGGGGTTTCCTCACCTGATGGAGAGGTCGGAGGGCTTGTGCGCCAAATATATCTCGCGGAGGCTTTTCCAGGGGTCCAAAGAGCGTTGGAGCGCTTGGGGACAGAATCGTTGTGGAACGTCCAGGTGGAGAATGGCTTCACCGACGCCGAGCTGCGGGCGATCTATGGGAAGCTGGATAAGAACCGGAACGGCCCGGAAGCCGAAGAAGGAGGGTTTGGGAGGATTCAGATTCGAGGCATTTCAAAGACCTTGGTGACCAACCGGTGACCAACCTGTCGATCCTGTCGATTCTGAATGTTCATTTGTCACATTTTGTCACCAATTTCAATTCTTTCTCACTTCCTTTTTGTTGGGTGCCGCATTCAAAGACCTTGGTGACCTTATTGAATCGGACGACACGACTTGAGATTGGCGCCACTGTGAGGGTGAGGGGTCTTATGAATCAACAATCTAGATTAGCGGCTTGACTTGAGGAAGTCGATGTTGGCACCTGGATTTCAACCAAGCATGATCGATTGTCAGAGGGAAAAGACAGTTCCAACATATACACGGTAGATGGCAGCATCGGATGTTTTGTTTGGGATAATATGAACGTTACTGTATCTCTCGCAAGCGCGCGTTCGGGTCCCGCCCGAAGCTTGGAAGTGGGGCCCATGTGCCCATGGGCAGTCAGGCATCGTCTCGAAGCTGGAACTCATTGCAGCAGCTGGGATTGAGACTCTGAGGGAAGTCTGTTGGATGGGTTGGTGGAGCAAATCTTTGTCTATTGGCAAAAAAATAGGGTTGGATGGAGTTGGTGGATCATCCTGGATTGACTAACATGCCCCAAGTATTCATATCTAGTTGTTGTTCCAAGGACGATGACAACCGGGTGAGCAGGTGCTGCCGCGGGTGTATCGAACCAATTGGGGAAGAAGGAGAATACGCAAAAAGCCTTAGTTTTGGTGGATTGCTGGTGGCTTGGCAGGCACAGGTGGCCCAAGCATCAATTGTCATGGGCATCAGCACTCAAAAGACGCGTATAGATCTTGAGTGGTGTGAAATCCACGTTCAATCCGGGCAATCAGACAAGGCACTTCATGCCTTTGATGCCCAGATGTGGACAGACCAGTCACGACCCTTGTCCGCCTCGCATGAGAGGAGACACCGGTCGGTGGGTCGCCCAGCGACACCGTGACGCACCGATCGAGGCAGTGAGCCAGGAGAAGAGCATTGCTGACATGCTGGGCGCCGGGGCGTCCCAGCTACCGATGTGATGCAACCCTGGTGGTGGCCAGAAATAGTAGGGGCTTGACTTGGTACTTCCTGGTACTTCTAGGGCACTATCTTAAAAAAGAAGGAGCTTTGCTATTTATTGCAGATGGTGGCAAGAGTGGCAGATTTCAAGGAGGTTTTACCCAGGCTTGAACACTCAGTCCGAAGATGGTGTTCCGGACTTCATCAGAAATGGGTGAAACCTCCGAGTTCACAACCGAAGAGACTGCTCAACTCGGCACTTCTCAGATTGATGGAGAGTCGCTTCTCAGCGACGAGAAGAGCTTCGACGAGCTCCATAGCTTGTTCGAGGTGCCGAACGGGTGTCGTGGGCAGGTCGTGACTCGGGTCTTTCCATCCAGACAGCGCGTTGCTGCCGAACGGGTCGAAGACTGGACGGCCGGTCCCGCAGTAAGAACCGCTCTCGCCCAGGAGATTTCGGCCGGGAAGAAGGGCATTGACTTCGAAGCGTTTGCGAAGCATGTCCGGAAGGCCAAGGGTCGACCCTGTTGGTGGTTTCTTCCACCTCCGCGCTAGGAAGGTCTACCTGTAATGAAGTGGGGTTGTCCCAAGTCGAACACCAAGTCGCTACTCTACTTAGAAGATCTTAGAAGGTGCATGGCTAATATGGCTAGACGGATCGCTGAGAATCACCATTTTGGCCTCGCAACATTTCCCTTGGTTGCTCGGCTGTGCCATCAACAGGCCTGCGCAGAACGAACGCCCAGATCGTTGGGCGGCCCAGTGATTACCATGATTGAGGACGTGACTGCGTCTTTTGGAACAGTCAATTCACTTGAAAGACCACCACATCATTTTTTTTTGGCAATTCAATGCAATTCACTATCTGTGACAAAGAACACCATAGAAACTTAACATTGTTATATTATATTGTTTCACAATTGCCTGGTATGATCATGAAGGACCTTTGGACCTGTTTGTTGCTTGAACGCCCTGTTTGTTGGTTGGTGTAGGGCAGTGTATTGTTCGGGATGGTGTTGTTTGGGTTCTCGTGCTCAGCAAAACTCCACAGTTGATGCCCTCAAAGATGGGGTCACTCTCCACCTGTCGAGGAACCGGATGTTAGAGATCTTCAATCTCATCGTCTTGGCCTTGAGTGGGAGTGGGAATGGTGCCAGTTGGGGTGGATTCAAAGTGTGATATGACTATGATGGCTCATGCAGATTTCACTTGCACATGAGTTTGCACTGGCAACGATCTGGTGGACACCAACTAGGGCTCATGGGAATTGACAGGAATTCAATGACCCGCTGAGATGCAGATGGAGACCCAACAGGTCATTGCGATTGATGACACACATGTTGCGAGGGCCCTTCGTTCAACTCTCCTCCATGCACCATGGGCTCTGCCTGCCGGAAGTCTCTGCCGGCCGAAACGGGCTCAGACACCACCGCTGGTGCGGAGCAAGCTGAGCAGATTCCGGTGGTTCACCCCGTGGAGGAGAAGATTGTGGAGCGGCCGGGGCCTGGCCTAGGCAGTTTGGTGCGGGATGTGGGGCGTTGGCACGCTCCGGTGGTGATCCTGGACGTGGGGAAAGGCTTGAAGGGCATCAAGGCCAGGGGTTTGCGGGGGTTGTTTCACTTCGGAGAATGGAGGAGGACTGAGGAGGTGACTTCTGGACGCTTTTTGTGTAGTTTTCAATGGTTTCCTCATCAGGCGAGCTTCTTTAAGCTTTTCCCACGGGGGAAGTTTATGAGCGTCACCGAGTTCTTCTCAAGCGAGTCGTTGCTGGGCCACTGCATCGTTTTGATCCATGGGGGGGGCGATCACAAGAACTACCTGGGGGAGCCTGAACGAGAGAAGCTGGTGGAACACCTCCGCAAAGGTGGAGTGTGTGTTGGGCAGAGAGGTTGATGCAGAAAGAGTATCTCTAGACAACCACCCTGGGCCATCAGACAGATTCGTTTTGTTGAAACATGTTGAAACTAAACTAGAGGACTGAAGAAGGCTTCTGGATACAGGGATAGCGACCATGCGTTTTCAGCTTAAAGAACATACTCTAAGTTAAAGGCGGCTTGCATCTTTATCTTTGACCACTGACAGGTGGATCCCTGTTGACGATTTCCGCTGGTGGCACCTTTTGCGGCTGCAACCAGAACTGCCTCTCCCTGCTGCCCATCTGGGCCCACGAACGACCACATTGGCAGCGTGGCACGGGGTCTGTGAAGCTGAAGCTGACGGCCTATGGAGAACATCTCCTGCCGGATTTCAAAGGCGGGGAAGGTAACTGGAGAAATGGTTACTGTACCGATTCCCACATTGGCCAATTTCCCTCTGCAGCTTCACTTCCGACGGTGAGTGGATGATTTCTCATTGGGCAAAACACTTTAACATGTTAACATGAAACACATACATGACTAGTAACAAGTGCATCGCTAGTAGTAACAAGTGCCTTACTAGTAGTAACAAGAAGCTAGTAGTAACATGACAGTGTCGTATTGATGTTGGGTTTTGGAGACCATGCTTGCGGGCAAGCGACGTGTCCGGAGATCGGTCAGTGACGCCAAGACGCCGACATCGGCAGCCTTTGAAAGCAATATAGGGCTTTCCTTTCCTCCTTCATTCTACAAATGGTCCTTCTACCTATGGCCTTCCCGGCCTGCGCAAAAGTCCACGTCTTGTCATCTCTTCTCACGCCCGAAGGTTTAGAGCTTGAATCCCAGTACTACAATGGCCCCCTGCTGCTGCCTGTGGCGGAAGAGGGATGGGGGGCATCCTTAGAGCTCCCACTGCCAATCTTCCCACTCCTCACCTACCAGACAGAGATGAACGAATGCCACGCAGTCCGGCAAACACAGTGCGGGCATGGCCAATTGAAGGAGATGGGCCCGGGATGGGTCAATCATTTGTAGGGCTGTGAGTCAAAACCTTCCCAACCAAACAATGTTAGGTTGACATCCCTTAAAGAGGAATCGGAATCTGTTCATTTTTGGGGGTCAACCAGGGTAACCGGTGCCATGACCCACACCCAAATGGCCAATACAGTCCGAGTCCTGGATCTCAAAGTTCGAAGACCTGCTTGTTTGGCAAGACCATTATATGTAGTATTAGAGCCCTGTCACTCATTGCAGCGCCTCAAAGATGACCACTTGTAAGTGGGAATCCTTTGTATAGCCAACTCGGACTCCGCCACCCAAACAAACAGACAGACACCCTCTCGCCACAGATGGATGAAGCTAGACTCGCTTGACAAACACCATCTTCGGGTTTGCACCAGCCCGTTTCGATGCCTTTCCAAGACATATACCACAGCATGTGGCCAACGCACGACTCCTGGGCTTTTCACACCTTTTCCCCCTCCTCCTTCATCCACTTGGACGAGCTGCAGAGTGTCCCACCCCGGTGGCGACGAGCTATATAAGTCTCCGAGGCTTCGCGCTCGCTGCTGGGGATGCCTGCGGTGCTGGGCGGTGAGCTGGGCCTCCTGGGGGGACGCTTCGTGGTCTTTGGGCCCAACGTCGAGGTGAAGCCCTCAGCGTCTTGGCAGATCGTGTCAAAAAACCGGAGGAAAGCAGAGATGGTATGACAGCTTTGGTGTTTGTATCGATGGAGTTAAGACAACAGGGATGGTCCAGAAGGATTTGGCGGGGCTAAGGTGTTTTTCTAAAACTCCCGTTGCTGCTTCCGTCACCTTTGAACCAGATGAAGCTTCCCAATTGGCCAGCGGTGCTTTCACACCCCACCGGTGTGGCCTCACGTCCGACCGCACCTGCTCACCCACACCGCTGCGAGGGGCCCCGTGACGTGGAAACGAAAGACCTCCAGGAGTCCATGCTGCTCTTGGTCCAACGCCTGGCCTCCTGGCTCTCTGCCTCTCCTCAGCTCCGCGCGCTTTCGGCCGCGGGCCGCGATGCGGGGGTGGAAGAGGCCGTCGCTGCGAGGCCGCTGTACAGCGAGGTGCACGTGGCGGGGACAGAGCGTGATGGCGGAGAGCTTTTGAGGCAGGGGGAAGAGCAGGTCAGCGATTTTGATGGATTTTGATGATATGAACAAGCTGCGGAAAGCAACAGAAGTGGTTGGCACTGGTCACCAGTAGTCGGAAAGGGTTTGAGTTGAATTGTTAAGTTGTGACTGCTTCAACATGAGGTTTTGAGGCGTTTGGATTCTGCTCTCCTGAGGTTTCCTCAGCCTTCGGCCTATCCTGCCCTGGCAGAAGATCAGATCTCCGCCAGCGAGGTGGACGAGTTTAGCTTGCCAGATTGCAGGTTGGTCATTGTGGATTTAGGGAAAGGCTTCGAGCAGCTAGAGGAGCGGTATGTGCTGGGACCATTGGCTGAAAGGCAGCCCTTCGTTTGAACAAGAAGGAATGCATGCAAATCCTCAGAACTGAATCCCCCCAGAGTTGTGTGAAACACACACTGTGTGTGAGAGAGAGACACACACACACACAGACACAGAGTCACAGAGTCACAGAGCACTTGCAGATCATGACTGACAGCCCACTCAGAGGAGATCTTTTCTCCGCTGGTGCCAGAATCTCAACGGACCACTGTTTCTCCTCAAGACCTGCAAGGCGCTGTGAGCCCAGGAGACGTGATTTTTCTCCACGGCGGCATGGCCAATGAGCATGCCGAGCGCTTGGGAGTCGATGGGCGGAGGCTGATCCGACAGCACCTGTGCAGTGGTGGGGGTGTGATGGGCGTTTGCGCTGGAGCCCATTGGCTCTCATGCCGAGACCTCCCTTTGTGGGGGCATATCTTGCCAGCCGTGCCGCATGACAACAAAGATTGGAGACGCGGCATTGGCGAGGTGAGCATCGCCCTGACGGTGGAAGGACAGCGGCTCCTAGGCCTGAAGGACTCCTCCATGTCCCTGCGCTACGCGAATGGACCCTTGTTGGTGGCACTGCATTCGGAGACGTATCAGAACTACCAGCCTGGCCGGGCGACCGAGGAGGAGGAGGCGAAGCTCGCGGGGCCCGGAGCGGTGCCTTTGGCGGTCTTCTCCGACTGCGCAGATTCGAAGATCACCGGTTGGACGAGCATGAAGGGCCATGCTGCCGCATGGGCGTGGTGTACATCGCAGGGAGGTCGGGTGATTGCCCTCTCGCCCCATCCGGAGTATCACCAGACGGCAGAATCCCGGCACCTCTTCAGGAGGTTGCTCCTTTGGTGTGCCCATGCCTGTCCAGGCTGAAATGAAGCGCGCTGAGGAAGACATGTCACACTCGCGACTGGATCTTGACCCCAGGTTACCGGCTTGCACCGCCCCTAATTAGCTCTTGATTTCTTGTTGCACCAAACATCTGAAAGAATCCCTGGCGAGGCTTTGATTTGATCACATCAGTTCCAAGTCTTAACTGATGCATCTGAAGCATTGAACCAACCAGTCTTCAGGCGTTTGGAGGATGTTTTCGTTTTATATTTTTTGCTGGTTTTTGTGTGAATCTGTGAGCATTTGTCGCATCGCCAGATGTCCCAAGTTATACAGTTCTACAGGTGAAATCATGTTGAACCTTAAACCAAGGATTAGCTGAGTTGGTCCAAACTCAGCGAACGAAGGGTTTTCGAGACTCCAGTGCACCGGTCCGTTTTTCGGCGCTGAGCGCGGCCCCCCCTTGTGCTGCTCAGGATGCGGACAACAGCGGCTCCATCTCCAAACTGGAGCTGGTTGCGGCGATGCAAAGCGGGATGATGTCGGCCATGACGAAGTGGTCGGGTTTGGTGGTCGGGTTTGGTAGTTTCGTCATAGAAGATCCATTTCAGGGGATCCCATTTCTTTGTATCGGAGGTTTGTCTGCCTCTCTCGTTCTCTCATTGTATTCCTGCCTGGCCAACTTGCGCCAGATAACCCTTCGGTGGACGAGTTCCTCATGCCGGGCGTCGACAGCAGCCGGGTGCGCAAAGAGCTCCGGGATGCGTGGGGTGGGTGGGAGCTGGGGTTTGAGGTGCTGTCGAAAGGACCTCGGTGAAAGGATTGGTTGTGGTCAACGCATGCAGAAGGGGTTGCAAAATTGATTCATGATTGGAAGGATGTTTGGGAGGGTCTCATTGTTGTTGCCGGATAATTTCTCATCGTGGATGATCAATGATGATCATGGTATTTTATTTCGAACGAGTGGGGAGAGGCTGCGGATGTCATAAATTCGGCGACCGATCTTCGCAAGACCAGTCGCCATCCCCTGTTGTTTTTTCCTTTTAACAGTCATTTCAGGATTTTCATGTCCCGTAGTGAGGGCAGCCCAGCCTTGGGCCCAAAAGGATTCCCCAAAGGGCGAGCCGATCTTTGGCTGAAGAGCACACGACCTTGGGCATCACTCTTTAGGACTTCTTTGGGCGTTGACCAGCCGGTCCTGGAATTTTGCAGATTCCGACCTTTTCAGATCATGGATGATGAGAATCTCTTTGAGAAGATCGATGGCCTGTTCGAGGTGACGAACACGGAAACGAACGAGAGACAGAGAGAGAGAGAGAGAGAGGAAAAGAGGGGAAGGGAGTCTTTTCTTTCCCGGTCGAACCCCATGTGACCGTGTATTTGGGAGATAGTGGTTCTTTCTTTGTGGAATTTGGTCGCGAGTCGCTACAGCGATTCTTTTGGTTAGGTTGTGGGGGCCCACCTGACACCTGGACTATATACTAGAGTGAGAAGGACCTAGACCTGGAAAGAAAGATCTCCTGCTGTTTCGAGCGGACCTTTGCGGATATTGCTAAGAAACTGCAAGGTGCGAAGGAAACCGAGCTCAAAACGAGGGGCAAAGGAAGTAAGCTTGTCGAACCAAAGGCCAGCAACCCGAAAGGTTCTCATCTATATTTCTTTTGAACTGCGTGGAGTTCCGAAATATTAGGACAGACACACGTAGGCCGTATTGGCCTTGATACAAAACGCAATGATAGGCAGAGTAAAGCATTACGTGAATCCTGCAGTTGTTACCACCAGCATTGTGATTTGTCAACCTGACTTGAGTAAACACGACAAACCACCCTAGAAGAAGAACAAGTGGCATCGAAAACCGTCACCATCTTCTGGCGCATCATCGCACAGCCGGCTCATCATGAAATGCGACGGAGTTTAATCACCAAAGTTGAATGACTGCTTGCAGCTCTAAATGTCCAAAACATACTCTTCAAGATTGTTATTTGAGACTAGTACTTTTTTCAAAAGCAACCCCTGCGCTTCTGCAATTTTGTTCGTCTCATACCGCAGCAGCATCCAATGATTCAGCTTGCAAAAGATTGGCAAGAAATCTACCAGGCACTTCATTCGTGTAGGGAAATCATGCAGAGAGTTGGCAGCCACGGCTTGTTGGGCCCTAAATCAAAAGGCCCTGTCTTGGTTTCACAGCAAAGGCACCCGTCGAAGGGTTCACCGGATGGTAGCCTTTGACGATGGCGCTTTGCTGGATTCGTGTGGGGCTTAAATTCGGAACCCAGAGCGGACCGCCTTGACATGTGGCACCTGTATTTGACCCCATACGGCACCTCTCCCAAGCACGATCAGAAGCAGCTGCGAGGGGAACTCCGAATCTTCAGTTCATTCTGGCACGGTGCTGGGGCTTTGGGCTTGGCTGATCTTGAGACGTGCTCAGTTCCGATGTTCGGGTCGCGACCCCCCATGGCCGACCACGGTGCCGAATTTCGTTCGGCTCCACCGGCGTTTGGGCGAGCGGACTTAGGCCGCTGAGCGACACCCCACGGGCGAAGAAGATCGTCTACTTGGCAACTCGCCCGGACAGCGCGGGCTTTGTGGGGAAAAAGCCAGGTGACACGGTCAGGAGTGCTTTTGTGGGGGGAAAGAGATTGTGTGTTCATGTCAGTTGAGTTCCTCGTGGTGCGAGTCCGGTTGCAGAAGAGATTTTGAGTTTGTTTTTAAAAAACTATTTTTTAAAGGGAACTTACATGTAACATCATGTAACGCACTGTCAAGTTGAGGATGGGCATGTTCATGCAGCATTGATCAACCTGCGGGCAGCGGGGGACGCACCCAGAGAAGGGGTAAAGCATGGTAAAACCTTCCCGAGAGGTGTCAATAATCTACACAGGTCTAGCTCGTCTGGTGCCACTCACAACAAGCGAATCTGCTGGCTTCGCCCGCAAGAAATTCTCCAACCCGCAAGTGCTTTGCCGAAGCAGGCATGGCATTCTACGTTGCGCCCAGATGGTTGAGCTGTGCAAGTACTGGTACGATGTCACACTATAGTATACAAATCGATATGTTAAAAGTTGAAACTGATCCTATTGAGTGTAGCTGACCCATGCTGATCCCAACAACATCCAGCCAAGCTGCTGCAGTTGTAGCCAGACTTCCTGACCACACACAGCTCCATCCACTCGCGCCGCTTAGGTACGTCATGCCGAGTCCATGGAAAACGATCCGAGTCAGCATTTTTATCGTTGTTTCCTTTGTCGCGGCATCTTTGAATGGCCGGGGATTGCTAGAATGTGTATAGCGGAGGACTGAAAGTTAGAATGCCGTTTTGGAAAATACCAACGTTGATTTCGACGTTGGCGGCAATCTTCGACAACACGGATAGAATGCCGTTGCACCCTGTAAAACCCACAAAAAGAACGACCCTTCCGACAGATCAAACAGATAGAATGCCGTACGGGGGCGCGTTTATGTGTTGATATGCGTTCATTGCTATTGTATAGGATGTATGGGGAAGGCATTCTCCTGCTGGAACGGTATTGCTAAACTTCAGTCACAAGGAGTGTCTCGAAGCAAGAAACAATACAAAAACACACACGTATATACTAACGGACCGGACCGAAAGTTTAATGCGTGGGTTTCAATGTATAGAAATAGAATGCGGCTCAAAAACCGCCAAAACGAGAGATAGAATGGGTTGGAACATGTTTGAACAGTTCAAATTTGAGTAGGCAATTAGAATGCTTGCATTCACCCAACTGCATTTCTCCATGTCTTTAGCCCTTAGCGCTTTGTTCTTCTCTTTCCCTCCAGTCCCTTGCGATGCTTCTCTTGTCATGAGCCTCCTTTATATATCTTTGCCTGGTGCGGGGCATTCTAACTGTGCAGGTTTCCTTGCTATGTTCTTTGCCCTGTCTCTCCGGAAAGCTCCTGGGCAAGGGCTCTACATGAGATTGTCTTCTTAGGTGCCCTGTCTTTCCCGTCCAGGTAGCCATCCAAGCCACAATCATGAAATTGCACTTTTTTCCTCACCTGTCAGGTGAGGGTTGTTGGGTTTTATGTCAGCTGCCGTCCTCGACCTCCTCCTCCTCCTCCTCCTCCTCCTCCTCCAGGCATACATAGGGTCTCTTTCCCCATCAACAGCTGGTGTCACTCCTGCAGAGTGCGACTTCTTGACATCCCAGACTGAAAGCTCCCACAATCAGGGACCCTTCAGTTTCAGCGCCGGTCCCATCGGGAAAGGATCGAATCGAAGCCTCGGAAGCCGGCAGTACTATAGCAAGACAGAGTTGTTGCGTCCAGTCCCTCCAAGAGTCAGATTCCGGGGATCGTGCACCAAGCAGTTTGCCGGAAGAAGGTCTGCAGTGGTGGGTTGCCCTGAAGTATGGGGCCATGTTTCCACGACACGCATGGGCAGAAATGCAAGGGCAGAGTTGACCCGAAGCCTGCAACTCACAGGTTTTCTGCTTGAGTGTTGTTACAATCTGTTTGCCATTCATGCAACTGCAAACTTGACGCACCATGTATAAAGCAGGTCCCACCAGCCGCAGAGCGGGGATTAGCAGCGACATGTTATATCATGGAATAATAATTTGTCATCATTCTTGCTAAAGACTCATACATACTCATACTAACCCTCCCCCGCCTCCTGCTCCTCCTCCTCCTCCTCCTCCTCCTCATCATCATCATCATCATCATCATCATGACCATGCTGGGCTCTTTGACAAGTATTGGGTAGTGATTGAGCAGTTTCTCCGAGCACATACATTCTCATTGTCATCTCGGGGTGCTCCCCATAATGAAAGATATTGAAGGCAACAAGAAACACATTTGTTCCTGAACAAGTCAGTTGAGGAACGGGTGCATGCCTACGACCGCTTGCGGCGCCGCCTGGTGAAAAAGAGAAACCACTTCACGTGTTCTTTCGGGCTCTAGGTCATGCTGAACAGCTCACCGAACGTTGACGGGGTCGGTGGGGTTTCGGCACGTTGAAGGAGGTGGGTACCCGGTTTCTGCGCTCCTTGGCCACTGGGTTCTTTGAGCCAAGGAGTCGAAGGAGTGATTCTTTGTACGGCCTCACATTTGTTCGGTTGGCCAACGGTTCTCAACGGTTCGCCGGTTCGCGTCTCCTTTTTCACCACGTATATAGCTGCCATTAGCTGCCTTGAATTCCGAATCTCAAGCGAACAACAATGGAGAGCAATGGCTTGGCAGTGGGCCGAAGCAAATTGTCATGATGTCATGAATACACCACAAGGTATGGGGTCAAAGGAGGTGTTTTCAGATGCGTGCCACAAAGTTTTCCCGACGTCCTCTGTAGCTTCGGCAGGAACAAACAATCCTGCTAAGTTAGGGTGTTTGCGCAACACAACATTTTTTCTTGATTTTCTTGTTTCTACTTCTGCAGAACTGAATCACTGTTCTCTCAGCGAAGTTGTGACGTTGCTAGACGTCTCACCAGTCACGCAGGCGTTGATTTTACTCGCAACGCAAGTCAACGGCCTTTTTGACATTTGGGCAAACATTCTCAAACCCGATGCAACGAGAGAGAGGGAGGGAGGAGGGATGGAGGGAGGGAGGGAGGGAGGGAGGGAGAGGGAGAGAGAGAGAGAAGTGCTCCCGTGCCCTAGGCGACCTCGCGCGGGGAGATTGGCCCAAGGTGACTGATGTGGCCAGCGCGCTGCAATTGCTGTCCTTCAACTTGGACACGTGCCTCGGTGACGATCGTTGAATGACATGACTTGCCACCACGGTTGATTATATATATATATATATATCGACTTTGAGTGTTGGAGTGCCTGGACTTGTTGTTGGGAGCACTGAAGAGGGGGTAAACATGCACGAGAGTTCTTCTCCTGTCCTCGGTCCTTGAACCCAGACTCTTGCAGCTTTTGCACCGGTTCCTGACCTTACCCAACTATTTCCCTCATTGTGGCCATGCCTATCCACGATCTCTTCAAACAGTTCCCCAAGTGTCGATGCAGTGCCACGTGTGGGACCATTGGCCACGTGCGTGGACGGCCGTGACCAGGGAAACCAAGCAGTGGCCCTGGCAGTTGTGGGTCTCCAACCTAAGGCCCTTGTCTCGCCGTGGCGAAAGGCTCCTTTGGCGGAAACGGCCGGCACGGTGCTGCTTTTTTTTTGCGCACGGCAACGCGGGATCTTTTCTTTAGTTAAACGTGCATTTGAAGTATTTGCCGAAATTTGCAGGGATAATTCCAAGTGGTTTGAGTGCATTTCAGGGAAGACGGCACAATTGTTGGCTTGGAAAAGGGTTGGTCTGTG